GTTACGGTGAAGCGGATTACAACGTCGTGTTGTTGCTCCTCACGACTTGCCCTTTATCTTGTTTCACTTTGATGTTCGTGAAGTTCCTTTCGCGAGGCACCGTTTTTGTTGCGTTTCTTGTTGCTCAAGCTCTCGGGGGGGGGGGGGGGCAGTTTGCGGCGACCCGTTACAATTGCCGGCTGTGCCGTGAAGAAAAGTATCAAGGTTGTTGTGCCTTTTGAAACGAGGCAGAATGCACACACTCTTTCATTGCACATCTTTCCGAAGAAGAGGGCGACTGCCTTCGGTGAACTTCGGGCGCGCAAGCGGTAAAAAGTGCAAACACCATTTAAGAAAGAAATAATCTGCCGTTCGCAGATGCGAGTAAAAATAGTAGAGCATCCCGGAAACCCCCCGAAAGTATCGATATTGGTATAGAATGCGAATCGCTGGCGTGCTGTAATGGGTGCATCACGAACTTTCAGGGCCTCGCGTGCGTCTATGTATGATGACGGCTAAATTCCGGAATACCGATATTCCGAAATAGTTTCTATTGCCTCCGATTTTCATTCTACCTTGAAGCCGCCTAGCCTTTGAGGTACATTGAAATGGGACGTTTTCTCGGGGTTGTTTTTCTGAGTATCACGAAAAGGGCGTTTCAGTTAGAAAATGTGCGTCGTACGACAGAGATAAAAACTGGGTTCCAGATTTTTGATGCATCTGCGTGTGCAGTTTCAATGTACGGTCTGCAAAGGTATACCAACAGTCTCTTATCAGGTAAGGTGTGTTGGAGAGGCATAATCTCTGACTAAGCAATCTTCCAATATAAAGAACAGTTGTAAGCATTATAGTCTAGATCTATCGACTGAATAGACACCAAAATCTTCTAGATGAAGGTTTTGTCAGAGTAGCAACTTACTGCAAACAACATATTTTCTATCTGATTATTACTAATTTGTCACAATCAATGTCTGTGAGCACTCGGTGCCGCCGAACAACCCTTGGGTCTTCACCAAAAACCAGGTTGTGCTTTGTTGACGAAAAGTTTGATATTTCCCGTCCTAGTAGAACTAGGTGATTTTGTTATAGCTAGGGTTTTTATTTTTTCAAAATTCGGCGTAATTTTTTCGTTTTTTTTTTTTAAATTAAATTTTCGTGTTTTTTTTTCGGTGTGTATTTATTCCCTATACAGTTAACCGTTTCTTTTTTCTTTTTTTTTAATAAAAAAAAAACACCATCGGACACCGGATCAGATGAGCCTTGTAGCTGTGATATTTGTGATCACTCAAAGAATAACGGCACATATACATACATGGTCTTCGCTACAGTTTCGCTCAGGACACAGCTCAAAATCGCGGAATTCACGGGCACAATCTTCAGCGCGCTTCTTTTTCCTTCTCATTCTGACGACGTAACCGTTTGAGGTGATGACCGTACAAAGCCCAACGGGATGGCAAAAATAAAAAAAATCTATTGTATTTATGTTCTGAACCACAGGGAAGTTTGAGAGAGGGAGTTAAGAAAGGTATTAACGACTTTCCTCGATGTCCTCTGAAGTGCATGAAGCAAAAAACCTTATACGAGCCCACATCCGAACTTTTTTTCTAAGACCGGGAACTTGACATACTAAGCCCGTTCACAGAAAGGGCACAGATGTCCCGCGTCCAATCCAAGTCCTCTTTTGTTGCCTGTCGAACCTTGGAAGAGGGCAGTCACGAAGACGTCGCACAATGTCGAACCTTGCAAAGCCCTCTTTCTCCCCTCCCCCACCCACCTCGACGCTGCCCTAAAAAACTGACCATTTTCAATTAAAACCGAAATTTAGAAAACGGATTAGATGTACTTTTATCGGTTTAAAGTTTAAACCATAAAACGCCGAACCTACGCACCGACCTTTGTCGGTGAAAACTTCCGAAAATGAATTCGGCGTACTTTTATCGGTTTTTATCGGTTTAAACTGAAAACTCCGAACCCTAGTTATAGCATGCTCTGTGGCTGTGATGAGCTCCACCACTTTCGCCGAGCAGTAACACGTAGACACAAGTTATTTTAACTACCAAACATCGCACTAGTTGTCCGGTAACAACTAGGTATTGGCCGCACCAGCAAGATCACTGGAATATGATAACAAAAGTGAGAGATGGGGTGAATTAACAGCCGCGTTTCCCGTCATCAGGCCCTGAGGCAGACCTTGTTAGTATCTTGGGGGTGTTGCCCCGACAGTGTCCGACCACTAATATTAGACATTCCAACTATATTTTTAACCATAGTTTTGTTTAAACCGAGACTGGGGTATTTCGGAAAAGGGACGAGAAGAAAAGAGGCCACAAGGAGGCGACGTCTCAAACACAGCTAAGGATTTTATTCCATCGTATGCACTTTTATACACACCACGTGCACACACCACCAACCAAGTCGACCAATGACAACATAACACCCGGAATACACTAAGCCAAACATAGGCCCAAAACATTACAAAAGAAAAATCTTTCAGCCAGACAAAAGAACAAGATAAGCCTCCGACTACACAAAGTCAACAAAGAACCGTTAAAAGGTTTTTGCAAACCCGCAAACACACGGAACCAAAGGGAAAGAGGGCATACAAGACCTAATTACACAAAGCCAAGCAACAAACCATTAAACTAGCCGGTACTTAGTCACCGTAAAAAAAAAAACAAAAAAAAAAACGGCAACCGGTCATTTTAACCCGCACTACACATTGAAGGAAAGCGGAAGAGGGTAACCATGAACCAAAATACACAAAGGGGAGAATGCAAAAGTTCCAACCTCATTTTTTTAATTTTTCCTAATGAACTGATTCCCGACATTCTGAGTCCTTCGCTCCTGATTGCGCCCTCTCTGGAAAGTTCTCTTTAAATATTTGTAAAAGAATTGATTTCAGGCGAACTACGGCATAGATTGTAATATTCACCGGAAGAATTATAGATGGCAACATACACTATTTCCATGTTGAAGTAACCTGAAACTGGTAGAAAAAACATCAAAACGTTGAGGGGACAGGAAATAGACAGGACGGCGTCTCAAACCGAGCTAACTCGTTCATTTAGTCCACCACTTTAAGTAGTACCAAACTAAAGGTCATCACCGCCAACACAAGACGAAGTCTTTACAGTTCAAGCGCCACAGTGTCCTCCACACAAGGTAAGAATGGGGATGACCTTACAAGTCGGCACGCTAAGGCAACACCCATCCTCCTTCAATTGGAACAAAATGATCATTCTCCCTTTTTATTCTAAACACTTCTAAACATGCTTTATACCCCAGTCTCAGGTTAATTCAACATGATTAATATTTACCCGCTCGCCTGCACTCTTACTATATTTTCTATACACCATTACGTATACTTACCTACACTCGGAAACGCGTATACCTTTTATTTACAGGCCTTACATATTCGTTTAGATTGTGTTCTATGGACAACTTCTGGCCCAAGTCCCCTACCGTTTGTCATTAGTTCGTTTTCAACTTCCGCGCGTGCGCATAATATAACTTCAGCAGAATTTTCGTCAAGCTTTGCGTTTAGAAGTTCCTAACTGTCGAACCTCATTCAGTTCGAACTTCGCCAGGTTCACGGCGCCTCTGGAACGAATCTGTACACCCGTGAGCGATATGAAGGTAAACAGCCCTCTTCTTGTTTTTGACGCTCCTGCAAGTTTTGGAACAAGCTCTGTTCCAGAAGAAGGCTAGAACACAAAGTTTAGACCCCAAGCCACGTACCATTTGTGACGTTGAGAGCCAATATAGCCTTCGGGAGCCGTAACACAGGCAAGAAACCAGGTGAGGTGTTATTGCCGGCGGGTGTATACATATTTATTTTACGTGAGGAACGACCGAATATTTCGCGACCGCATCCTCACCTGGCACGTGGTGTGTCCCTGAAAACGTTTTCTGCGACGAACTTGGTGAGAAGCAGCGGGGTGGTTTCCAGGTAGCCTGTTCTCCATGGCCAGGGCGGAGCAGGGCGCTGCCGACTTTGCACGATCTGCCAACGCTGGCCGCTGTGTGTTGAGGGGACTGCAGCACTTTTCCCAACCACCTCGCGTCAGACAGAGCGCGCAGCGTCTTTGTTGTGTGGCGCGGCAAGAATGCGTCGTGGTCCAGAAGCGAGCGTTCGCCTCTGCCTTGTCTGCCTCGCGACTTTCGAAGAGAGCCTACATTAAGGAGATGGGGCAACTTAAACCATGGAGAGCGAATGCAAACCACGAAGAGCGTGGCGGCGTACGCAACATGCGTGGCGGCGTACGCAACATGCGTGCGCCGCCAACGCATCGCACGTAGAGGCGTCTCTTAAACGTCGCCAAAAAGGCGAATCCTATGGTCTGGAGGCTTTTTTATATAGCCTGTTTTACGTGTGATGTGTGGCGTGTGAGCGCTTTGGCCACAGGGAGTGGGATTGCTCACGAAGAGATGCGCTCCGATACGAAACCGAAACCTAGAAACGCTTCCCGATTGAGCATTTTTCAGAAAACCGTAAAATTTCTGCGTGTGCCATATAATCATTGTAATGTAGCTAGATTTTGTAATTTTCGGTAAACCCCATCAAGTTTTCAATTGGAACTATACCAATCAAATCAATAATACGATTTAATTGACTGAAAGATAGTTAATGACCTAATTATACTGAATGCTAATCATTTGCCCTCATGGGCCCCTTAACAAAAAAATCCACAAAATCAGCTTTTTTTTTTTTTTTTTCTGCGCAAGGCCATTTTCTGCAGGAACGATTTGGCTCCCATTTCGAGAAACACCGTGTAGAGTCGTGGATGGTGATTATCATTTTTCCAATAAGTATCGAGTTAAGTCTTTTGACAGAGCAATAGGCGATATCCGAAATTGCCAGCGCCATCCAGTGAACGGGAGAGGAACCGCGTTCGCCATCTTTGTAGTGGCGACGAACGGCCGGGAGGCTTTGCGCGCGGGCTCGTATGCGCAGCGTACCCTCGGGTTCTGCAATTGTATACATGCGTGTAGCAGTAAATAGGTTTTTCGAAGCTGGCAAGATGACGGTGCATTGCTGCGTTCCGCAGTGCAAGCAGCGCGGCATCAGCGACAGCGACGGGAATAAGGTATGTAGCAGCACCGCATGGGGGATCTCCTTTGACGGGGTGCTTTGATCTTTCAACTTTGAGCCGATTGCGTAGTATCTGGTTGGTGGCGTGACCGCGAGACTTCCCTTAACTGTTCGTACGATAGGGCGGCAGCGCGGACTCACGCTGCCGCCCTATCTATATGATTCTGTCCGACCGGAATCGTTCAACTAAAACTGTGCCGTTTGGGCGCAGGTAGCAACACCCGCTTGCTTCCGCCATTTACTACGTTGCCTTCTGCTCGTTACCGTGCCGGAAAGAAAAAAAAAAAAAAAGATTTGCTATGTTTGTTTGGTAATCCCAGTTTTGCTAGTGAGCCCCGGTGAAATTATTTAAACGTTAAATGCTGCGCGTACCAATGGCGCTTCTGAATTCTTCATTCAGTGTTCCTTTTTTTGTTTTAGGTATCCTTTCATCGCTTTCCGAGAGATCCCACCCTCTACAAGAAATGGATTATCGCAATGAAAAGAGACGAAGGTGCTAACTTCCGCGTAAACATGAAATCGACGAAAGTGTGCTCCAAGCACTTCCGTACATGTGACTTTATACCTGGCGTGGCTAGCGGGCACAACCTCCTTAGGGACACTGCAGTACCATCAGTGTTCGCCTTCAAACCGCAAAGCAAAGTTCGGAAGCCCCCAAAACAACGTGCACCACCACTGGTAAAGAAAAATGACCACCCCCTGCAGTCAGTGGCACCGACAGCTCAAGCGAGTGAAGTCGTGCACCAAGACGCAGTGATGGGCAGCAGTGATGGAGTGGATGCCGCTGTTGCAAGCCCAGTGGAACCGGTTCACGACTGCTCTTCACGTGCTGCAGAAGCCGAGCATCTTGCAAGTGTAGTTGACCAGCAGAAGAGAGAAATAGCACGGCTTCGTGATGAATGTGAACAGCTGAGACAGCAACTGGAAAACGCAAGGGGTGCACTACGTGAGCTTCATGCAGAAAAAATCCGCCTCGAGTGCCAGGTTTCGCAAGAGCAGAGAAAATCAGCTTCCTTTTGCATCGAGCGCTTCAAAGACTGCGATGAAGACTTCATGTTTTACACTGGTCTTCCGGGATATCATCACTTCACAGCATTGCTGCGTTTTCTGGACACTGGGAAAGATGGCTGCAATGTCTTGCGGACAGAAAGTAGCAGTGGGGAGAATTCTTTGAGGGGCCGTAAGCGAAAACTAACCACAGAGAATGAACTCTTTTTAGTTCTTGTGAGACTACGTCTTGGTCTCTTCGAAGCAGACTTGGCACACCGGTTTTCCATTGCGCAGTCCACAGTGTCAAGGATTTGCATGTCCTGGTTGAATTTCCTGTATGCAAAGTTGAGCACATTTCCCCTGTGGGCACCAAGGGAAACAACAGATGCAATGATGCCAGGTGATTTTGTTAAGAAATATGCATCAACGAGGGTAATTCTGGATGCAACGGAGGTACAGTGCGAGGTGCCGACCTCTCCGTCGCTTCAGTCAAGCACATACTCAATGTACAAATCAGCAAACACCTTTAAAGGGCTTGTCGGTGTACTGCCTAATGGGCTTCTGGCCTTCGTGTCCGAGCTTTACACAGGATCGACATCAGACAGAGAAACTGTCATAAGGAGCGGCTTTTTAGAGTTGACATTTGAAGAGAACGATTCTGTGATGGCAGATAAGGGTTTCCTCATTGAGGATTTGCTTGAGAGAAAAGGCGTAAAGCTGAATCTGCCCCCTTTCTTGAGAGGCCGCACATTCACAGATGGACAAGTGCAAGAAACCAAAGAAATCGCATCTCTAAGAATTCATGTGGAACGTAGAATACAAAGAATTAAGGCATATCATATATTCGATCGGCCGATACCACTGACCCTTGCCCCTGTAGCTAATCAGATTTGGACAGTGGCAGCTATACTCACAAATTTTCAGTCCCGTCTCATAAATCGCACAGGAAGCGCAGATATGATGGCAGGCTGAAACCTAACGTGCATATTTATGACAAGTACATGTAAACTTTGCCTTTTCCATAAAATATTGATTGAGTGCCCACTCGAAGTGCAGACAGTCATGAGAAAGGGGGACGGTTACTTTCTTGGTTTGGGAACGAAAAAGCAGGACAGACTTGCAAGGGACCTTGCTTAATGTGTGTGCCTTTAAATAGAGGGTGGGTGCCTGTTTGCAACATGAGCACATGCTCTGTAGTTTCCCGATATGTTAATTTTACTTTGCGTTGTGTGTCCGAGCGTTGAGAGTCTCGTATGTGTGCTGACCTTCACGAAAGAAACCTGTCATGAGTGTACTGCTTGTGTGGTCTCTTTTTGTTTCGTGCTCGCTCATGAGAGGGAGCATTCTGTTGAAAAGGCAGAGATGTCTGCCGGCGTGATGAACCATAAGTGCTACTCTGCCAAGGGGAGGGGTGACAAACTTGATTGAAACACAACAGTTCACCCAGCCAGAGACATCTTTATTTAGCCCTAACTACTCGGTTTGAGCTGGTTTACTTGCGGGCAACATAGGGCAACATGTGCCGAAAGTAAAAATCGTCAAGCTTTTGCCGCATTTCCACCCAATCCTGAAAATTAAAGCGAATGCGCTCAACGACTATCCACTTCTCTGAGCAGACAACGAAGTCTCCCCAGCGACATCCGGTCAGAGCCATTTGGCCAAGCACCTGGGCATAGTGGTCATGGTCCCGGTCAAGATGTGGCTCATCGTTTTCATTGAATGTTATGTAGAAGTTCTGCATCCTGGCATAATCTGGTTCAGTGTCCTTGAGTGAATACGGACATTTGATTTCAAGGACTCCATACGAGAGCTCCTCTGGATCATATACCAGCCTGTCAGGTGTGGCACCAAGCCACGGGAATCCAGGGTTTACTACTAAGCCGCAGTGCTGGAGCGACACATTGTGCTTGAAGTTAGTCATAACAGCTGTATAGCGGTCCGCAGCCAAACTTTCATTTCTTAGCCCGTACTGAACTGCGCGAACATGCGAGATGTCTTTTGGCTCGATGAGGTTCCGCAAGCCCGTTTCTGTCCACTGTTCTCGCTTGGATCCACGACCAAAACTTGAAGCGGTTAATCGGTGGCGCCGCGCGTCTCGCCAGTGTGCACTCCGTCCTTGCTGTCTGGAGTTCAGTTCGAGCTCCCTGGCACTTTCCGGCGACACTTCGATCCCCTGCGACAAACAATAAAAGTCGTTATAGCATATGAACACAGCACATCTGTGACACTCTAGATTACCGCATTTCTCCTGGTCCGCCTGCCTTGCTAAAAAGTGATTGTGCAAACAGTTTTTCTTTTCTGCTTGACTGGAAATGATAATGCAGGATGTTATGCTTAATGCATAAACCTGCAGGGCAGTCAAGTTTTGCCTGACACAAAGCACAACCTAACCCCAAAATATCTGTAACGTCGAGGTAACCCTTTCGCCATGTTTGTTGTTGTTAGTGTGCAGTACTGTGGAGTCTCTCCTTCCACTTCGTCGGTGCTGACTTAAGCAGTCTTTGTTTGCGTAAGTTACAGCACTCGCAATGCTATCGATTGTCCCGTGCAATTCCAGATGACTTCACTTATGGGCAGCTATTCGAAGGCGTGAAGGTTTAGCAGGAAAGGAGCCAGATTACCATCGAGGCTGTGGGAGGAACAACACCGTCAGGGATTGACAATTTCCGCAAGACTTGGAATGCTTGTTTCACATACTGCGACTGTAAGAGTAAAACTGGTGCAACAGCAGGCACACTGAGAGTCATCGCAACGGTTGAATTCACATGTTCTGGCAATCGTCACAACGTCTGTCACAGCACCACATGTTTGTTTTTGCTTACAATACAATGTATACGCCTTCATATACATGAACTAACAGAGAAGTTCACATTTTTACATTGCTAATACAAGACGAGGCATTTCAGTCTTAGCCTTGCAACGTGCATGAAACGCTCTCTCCTGGTCACGTGGCACACAGCAGACGCGGCTACAGGATTCCAGCTGGGTGGAACTCTGTCGAAGAGCCGCTGCGACGGTGCCACTGCAATTTTAGTTGAATAGAGACAGGAATCGCAGCATGTGAAACGGGCTTACAGGCGGCATCTCGCATGCATAAACATAGGCGGCAGCAGCATCGCCAATGCGAGCCGCACTGGCGATCAATCGATGGTGGCGCACTCTGACCAATACCCAGCAGGTATTACCTTTATAAGGTGCGTGCAATGAACAGTTACGAGTCGGCGCTTGTCTTTTGTACTTCCTTGCTTGGTGGCCTAGTTTGTGCTATGCGTCATGTCTTACGGTCATATCAACCAGCCTAACAATGTATTGTACTGTCTGCCATGGTTGCCGTAAGCAGCACTTACCGTCAATATTTGCCATTCCTCCGCACTGAACGTGCCAGAGAATGTGTGTTGTCGAGTCCCATCGAAGAGAGAGAGCTCCGGTACTGAAGTTGCAAGGCCGATTCCTGCAGAAATGTTTGCCGAGGTCCACGTCTTGTAGCCGGAGGGTAGCATTGCCTGCTGATAAGACAGTGGTGAACCAGCAGGTGCAGGCCCCAGTTTTGTGTCCGTCAGTGGCCCTCGGGCAGCCAGTAGTACTGCGCCGAAGTCCTGGTTCCCAAGGCTCTGGAGTGTTCTGCCCAGTTCATGCAGCAACTCCAGCTGCCGTTGCTCGTCTTGCTTCTTGGCGCAGGCATCAAACAGCCGCACTGGCATTGGTGTGGGCATGCCGCCTTCACGGGGACTCCTCCAATCCACGTCTTGGACACTCATTGGCCTGATGCCTTGTCGTCGAGGGCGCCGCCACTGTTGTGGGAGCTCAGTGCACGACAACTCTGGCGGTGTCTCCTTGTAGCCTTTTGTCTTCAACAAGATAATCAACCGAAGAGTGGCGAGAATGTGGCTGCACGCACCGCTTGCTCCAGCAGGGCACTCACAAGTTGCACCCGTCACTGCACCAGTGTCAAGCCTAAATGCGACTTGAATTTTATATGGCACTCCAGTCTTCTTCTGGCTCCTGAAGCATGTAGCTTTCGCATAGACGACACCAAGCCTGTTATGGTAACACGGAAGAATATGTGAGCTTCGCTAAATGCCTTGTTTGTTTGTTTTTTGTTTTGTTTTCTACTGGTAAGCACCTTAAGGGCAGCAAAGAAAAAGGCACAGCCAGTGACCAAAGAAGTCGCTCATAAGAAAGTGTGAGGTGGGAGATGCATGCGGAATCTTCTCTAAGCTAGTGCTCATATAGAAAAAAAAAAAAAAAAAACTACTCAACTAAGTTATAGTGCCCTAGCCTCCTGGTATATTCTCACTTGCCAAAGTTCCACTGTAGGTGTTTTTACAGTTGCTATGTTGTAGCATGCGTGCTACGTCATGGTAAGTTGACATTGCGAACTAGATAAGAAGGAATACGTTGACCGTTTATACATTTGCACACTTGCGGGCTATATCATCGGGAAGCTACGCCCGCACTTCGTTATTATTAAATTCGTCTCCTTTCATTCAGTGAAGTAAATACGCGGCGAAAGCTAAGGCCCATTTCAGACGCAGCGTAGTCGGATCCCGCCGCGAACCCAACAAGCTCGCTCCGTGATGGCATATAAGTAAAGCCTCCGATCGGTAACAAAAGCTAGGCTGGCTCGTCAAAACCACCTCGATTAATTTAAGCAACGTTTCAGCATACCACCAAGCACTAATTAAATCGTTGAATTCCCAAGAGTTCAACGCGAACGCAAGAGCGCCGCTTTGGTAAGAACTGCTTTGCCCGGTTGCGTAGCAGATACGACTCCGGCGTTGCTACAACTAGAACAACAAAGGGACGACGTGAACAAGCGTAGCAAGTAAAGTTTTCTTTTTTGTTTTTTTTTCACAATGTTTACAAAGGAACGCAAGTTACGGAACGGTATTCACGTACTTACCTCGAGTCGCAGACGTTCGTCATCACTGACGAAGGCAGGGTGTACGCTTCGGTGGCAAAGGCGTACGACTTGCTCCGCTGCCGCGACGATGGCGTTTCCGAAGCGCACAAGGCTTCTAACGCGCCCTCAGATACCCGTGGTAAGTCTTCCAGGTTATTACGCCACATTACGTGGTCAAAAGACGGAAAACTCCACCGTTCGCTCATTGCCTCGCACGCTTCGCTGCCGCCGACTTGCCACAACGAACATGGCGACGCTCTCAGTGTTGCCAGACCACCAAGCAATTTCGCATAAGGCCTATATCAAATGAGATTTAGAGAAAGCACGAGCAAACTTCCGTACTACCGCTCATTCAAAACATGCTCTATACCCGTCAGTTGGGCATACGCTCAAGCGTAGAAATAGTTCCTAACAAGGTATACCTAACGCGTCTGCAGGCTGTATTTGTTGCCCAACGTTCTATTTGAATTAGGTACCACATACTTAACATGGTCTAAGTGTAACAGCGCGTAGGAAAGAAGACTATAAGAGAAGGAACACACAACACAGGACGAGCGCTCACTCGCAACTAAATATTTAGTAGTGAAAACAGAAACCAGGCAAACATAAAAGGCGCACTCAACCACGCATGCGCCGCCCAAACTGTTCCGACACAAAGGGCTTCATCTATCGCAGAGCATCGCTAGCTGCCCCCCCCCCCCCCTCTCCTCCCCCATTCATAGACAAAAAAAAAAACATTCCTTTTTCCGATAGCGCCACCGATGGCTTGCTGACGCAATGCGCTCCTTAATTCACAGTGTAGAAAGTCTCTGTCACTTCTCTCGTCACCTTATCTTGGTGCTTTTTTAAGATATCTGTCTCATTGAATGATGGTTTGCACTTGCAAGTCCCGCAGTTCCCCGATAGATGGCCGCCGACCATAGCTCTCAGGGAATACTCGTGCTCCCTGAACCTGTCATTTAAGCATCTGCCGGTTTCTCAAATATATACCTTGTCACAAAAGGGGCGTATCATGTATCCCCGAGTACGGGACACAAACGGTTTGGAATTAGTTTTGCTACAACTGTTGTTTTTTTTTTGTTTGGGGGGGGGGGGGGGGGGGGGGGGTAGCGTTCGAATTGACCCTCGAACAAATTTAGCTCATTCTCTGGGGGCGGAAAACGCCACCGGGATGCCATCGGCATCATACTTTTTTTCAAATGATAAGATACCTTGTGCAGGTAGGCAATGACAAAAGTCTCCTTCCTGTCAACACTTTCCTTAGATAAAAGAAAACCGATTAGCCTTCTTTACAAGAGTTCTGGCAACTTCACTGAACAGGGATCCAGCATATCTCAGTCTGTCACAGTGCGCCCGAAAGCTATCACAGACAGTTTGGAAGCACGACCTTTTTAGGGCCGCCTGAAGACACGAGTCTGTTATGCCCTTCTTGATCAGTGTGTGAAGCTGTAGTCCAAAATAGCCTTTTTGGATCGAAGGCTGTAAGACCAGCACACATGGCTACCATCGAAGCGCACAGAGAGGTCTAAAAACTAGGGCTTGGCAATTCATGGATGAACCTACCGATTATTCAAATCATGTTTTAATTGCGATTACTTGTTTTAGCCGCTTAACCGGTAAAATTTGACGAACCGAAAGAAGTAGATATTCAACCCTTTGACCACGCAGACGTGGACGAGTACACCTGCATGAAGCGGAAACTTTAGGTGAAATTTTAGCCTAAAGTAAACTGTAGGGGCGAGATTTGTAACTCAGACAATTACAGACAGTTACTCGTGTCCCGGCCATTTCAACGCAGTTCCAGTGTCTGTTTAGCACAGTAAAAACTATTGGAAACAATCCCTTATGCTGCAGAAGTAATAATCTGTTAGTGTGAGTGTCTTTGAACTTTTGTCAACCACAGATCGAGGTCGATTCTAAATTTAAATTGTATATTGCGCCGTTTGTGACATAATCTACAAAAGCCACCTTTTGCTTCTATATCTTATGCATGTACTAATGAACGAGACCGATTAATCGATTAAAGGGTGCCGATGAATCGTGCTAAAAGCCCTACTAAAAACTGTAAAACTCCTTCCTTCGGAACCTGAACAGTGAATATACTACCACGTTAAACTTCCACCAAGTAGCCCAGCTCTCTACTTTGTTACACTTACTTAACATCGCCCGCTTCGCCAGCCAGATTAGCTCCTCCGATGTTCTCGTTACCTGACGTCTCATCAGAAGGCTGATAGACCGAGACAAGTATTAGGCTAGTCCTTCGTTCCCTTTGCTTGTTGCAGACGGGGTCAGTGCTGGAGGAACGTTCTTCGCTACGAGGAAGCGTTCCAGTGGTGCTGGCTCTTGATGCACGAAAGAAAAGACAGCAAAAAAGCAAAGACGGCAGAGCAGCTTTCTGCCGCGAGCGCATCATCCTGTCACGGTCCATTGTCTCTGGGAAGAATGGGCAGCCATGTCTCGTTGTCGACAGACGCCGGTGCTCCGAGAACCATTCCCCGCCGCAACAGCCGGGAACATCATTGAGCAAGGACCGTCGCAGTCTGCTACTTGTTATGAGGACAAAGATGTGGTGACCAACTTGTCCTGGTATTCCCCTCCGCGGACGTAGCGAGTTGTATGGTCGGGTAAACGGCCAGCTGTTCGCACAAGAGCGTTGCGTTTCGCAATCCGGAGCGCATTTAGAGCATCTAAGGTGCTTTAAAAGTTACACTGAAGACAACAGCAAACATTCCTCGAGTGGTTCCCATGTTTCACGATTACGAAAAAGAATCAAGGAGCTACCTTTCTTAGACACTCCGTGAAGTTTAGCGTTGAACTGTTAGTGAATCTATGTATACAGCCCCTAACCCCTGTCATAGCTGGAGAGCGACATGCAATGGGACAGGTGTCGACCACATCCACCCTAACCTCTTTGACAATAGCATGACACTTGTATGACGTTATGAGTCTTCAATCGCCGTGGAGGACATTTTGGACGCGTTAAGCACACCAGTCGGAGATGCGTTGCATGCACCCGCAGTCGCATAAACTTCGAGCGTGCACTTGCTGCCAAAACATGGCGGAGGGTAAAGAACGCGTGCAGGAGGCATTCGCAGGAGACGCCGTTGTTATTCTGTCATTGACGGGGGACTATACCATCTACTGCAACTCGCTTTTTACAAAATGAATAGGTTCTAAACTAACTGCGCAACTAGGGCGACAGTAACACGTTACACTGGTTTATCGTACATGGTGAGGACGGTCGGGGCCGGAACGCAGCGTTCGCAGCTTTGTCGATCATCGAGACTTGAAATGTCCGAGTCCAGTCACGTCAAAAACTGAGAAATCAATTGGCTTTTTACACTTCTTGCTCAGTGGTATACCATTCGGGGTTGCCAAGGGTATATGTTCGCAGAGACGTCCTCCTAGCTTTTGGTCAATGGCACGTCCTAATTTGTGTGTCCCAAAGAAGGGCCGAACACTCTCTATCGTTTACACCAACGCATTGTTTGCAAACAATCAGGTGGGACCACAGCATGCAGGCGTGGTATAGCTGCTGCGCGTCCGAAGGTACTTGTTTCTCGAATCGCATCTGCGGCGTACTCCACGTGCGACGCTCAGCGACGCTTTTTGCTCCGTACTTCGCGTCCTTATCGGCTAATGTCAGTCGTGCATTTCTCGGCTGTCTGCGACTATTTCTTGTCGCATTCGAATGACGTCATAAAGACTACTTGGCTCTCCGAGCCAGTTCATATTTCTTACGTCCCAGCAACACGGTACTGGATGCCAAACGGGGCATGGGCAGAGGCTTTCCTCTTCAAAGACGTGTGTGCGTGTGTGTGTGTTGGGGGCGGGGGGGGGGGGGGGGGCGCCTGCGAAGTGCTCGCAGCTCCCGATGAAAAAAGAACAATGGTTCGGAGTACGTATGGCTTCGTCCGACTGGCGTGCGACCGGCGCGACTGGGGCGAGTGGTGGAGCGCGCCAGAGCCACCGGGTCCGGAAGCTTCGTTGTCCGTCGGCTGGGTCGGAATGGACCGTGGAAGGCCGTCCGGGACGGCGCTTGCCCCAGATTAGCCGGCGGTGTGCGCGAGCTCGTCGCGATGTCCTCTCCCATCTCGCGCCGGCCGCGCATTCCACGGCGCAGCCGGTGGCGCCGGCGTTTCGTCCGTCCTCTTTATGTCGGCTAACAGGTTTGAGCCGTTTTTGATGCTCGACTTTGTTTCAGGCGCTTAAAGGTCGCCGCGCTGCCGGCGCCGCTCGTGGTTCTTGGCTCATGCTAGCGGTCAGAGAAATACAGCTCTGCTCTTGGCAGCCGAGCGAAGGATATTTGTCTTAGCAAATGACGTGTCTGTGGGATAAAACACAATTTCTGGTCCAACTACGCTTTAAGTGGACGGCACGGCTGGATACCGTGTAGCGTCCCAGTAACTCATATAGACGTCTAAAACTTGGCAGAGCCAACCGCCGCAATTTACGGACGTATGACCTAAAAACAAATTCTGCGCTGTGATCATGACGTATGAAACGTCAAGCTGAGTGTCACAGCGCAGACAGTGTTTGTTGGTGTCTAAACATATTTTTATTCTGGTCATTCTCGACGCCGGAGTATAGTCAGCAACTCTCTCTCCCAAGCGGTTTCTGGGAAAGGTAGCCGCATCAAAAATTTTATATAGTCAATGACAACCTAAGAATCGCCGGGCGTGGCGAGTTCTGAGCGTAGTATCGTATGCGATATCATATATATTATGATAATATAATATTATATTCGCTTCGTATTCAAGGAGATAGCTGCAATAGCCGATGATAAGAACGCCGAAAAGCAAATCGCGAGGCAAGAAGCTTGGATACGCCACCTCCCTGCATTTCTTAAATTGTCAACGACGATAGAGTTCCATGTAAAGAGAGTTCGGAGACAGCAGAGAGCGTGGAGTTCCAGCTGCGACAGAGGCGCTAGCAGTGGCGCATATTCATCGCGGCTTAAGTTTGACTAAATGCAATCGTATATTTTTATTTATTTATTTATCTACAGATACTACTGCCTTCTCAAGGAAGGTGTTGTAGGACGGGCTTCCAAACAATGACTGAAACGTACAATATGGAACAAGGCCAGTGCAACGAACATAGTAAAGAGCAGAAACCGTGAAACCCACAACCGAAATATTGCACAAGAATGAAATTAAACAGTGCGCATCATTACACTTTACCGTGCACCTTTTAC